ACTACTACTACTACTACTACTACTACTACTACTACTACTACTACTACTACTACCATTACCTGTTACTATTACTACGACATCCCGAACCGGGGCAGTTTTTGCGCAATTAAAAATAATCAATTATTCAACGTTCACGCTTGTTTTCCACGCGGTATTTAAATCTTAATGTGCCTATATTTTCTGTGCCAAATAATCAAAAGCTTTGTGTTCTCGACAGGCGATGCTGCATAATATTATGCGCGCTCCAATGGCATTCTTCGACACGACTCCTATCGGACGGATTATGAACCGATTTTCTCGAGACTCCGAAACGGTCGACTTTTTGTTACCTAACACGATACAGAATGTAAGTCACTTCAAGAATCTGCCTTCGTCTTCGCTTTAGATGCCATCTTACACTTGTTCGTAATTTCTGTTTTTCAGCTAGCCATCCTTACATTTTATCCAGCTTATGATTTTTTTTAAACATCAATCAACGAACAATCAAAAGAAAAAAAAATACAAACAAATGAATTGGTAAAGAAAACAACAGTAACAGAAAAAAAAACACACATAGACAAAGACTGTCTTTATTTTCTCTCCTCCCATCTATTGTTTCGTTCGTAACTCTATTACCGTCGAAACATTGTGAATGAATTGTTTATTGAGGTTGCTCAATTGAATTTTTATATGCAGACAGGATTGGAAACATAACACTGAACGTATTGTAAAAGGAAATAGGTGTCACTATTTATAAGTGCATAATATATATCATTGATAAATATACATGTTTTATAAATATATGTATCTATCTATCTATCTATCTATCTATCTATCTATCTATCTATCTATCTATCTATCTATCTATCTATCTATCTATATATATTGAGCGTGTGTGCGCGCGTGTGTGTGTGTGTGTGTGTGTGTGTGTGTGTGTGTGTGTGTGTGTGTGTGTGTGTGTGTGTGTGTGAGTGTGGTGTGTGTATTATGTCTTCCCCATTACTGCACCATCGCCAAGTATTTATATAACACCCCCCTCCACATTTTTTTCCTCCCTTTCTGCCCCACAACACCCCCACCCCCCTTTTCCATTTTTCCCTTGTACTCCATATCGCGCACCGGGCCTTGCCCTTCCCCCCCCCCCCCCCTCCTCCTCCCTTTTCCCACCCTTTCCCACGTACCACCCACCGGTGCTACCAACAGACGATGGAGGGCATCAGTCAGGTCATCGTTACTATCGTCATCATCAGCTACAGCACGCCCATCTTCCTGTCGGTTCTGGGACCTTTGGCGATAATCTACATTCTTGTGCTGGTTGGTGGACTGGGGAAAGAGGGAGAGGAGAGAGAGAGAGAGAGAGAGAGAGAGAGAGAGAGAGAGAGAGAGAGATGGAGAGAGAAAGAGAGAGAGAGAGAGTGAAAGAGAGAGTGAGAAAGAGAAAAAGAGAGAGATAACCTATGGTAGAAGACCCATCACTGTCGCACATTGTGAAGACAAATTAAATTTCTTCCAATCAGTTGAATCAATAAAGGTTTCTCATGGTCATTTTTATTGTCACCTAAATAGTACTTTTGTTTGACTCTACATTAGATGAAACTGGCGATCTGTCTGAAAAAAATGCATTTTGAGAAACAAAATACCACTCCGTGTACACCCTATCTCCTATCCCCCCCCTCCCCCCACACACCTCATACCTCTATGTGTAAGTGGTTTGGCTGGCGCTCTGACGTGGCTTGCTCCCTTCCTTCTTATCACACAAACATCGTCATTCTCTACACGCCTTCTCTTTTTTTCATATAACTATCAAATTATAACTCTAATCTCCAACATTTATTTAACCTAATTTTGTAGCAATTGCCGTAAAATGAATTGTAACTGAACCTTTTAAAACTCGTGTCTGTGTAGATCACGTACATCCCCACATCCCGTCAGTTACGACGCATCGACTCCGTCACTCGCTCTCCCGTCTATGTGCACTTCTCCGAGACTCAAAATGGTGCCTCCTCCATCCGGGCGTACGGAGCCCAGGAGAGATTTATACGTCAGTCCAAAGCCAGAGTGGACCACAACTTCAAGTTCTACTTCGCCGGAGTAGGACTTAATACGTGAGATATAATAATATTGTAACTATTGAATTAATCATTGGCAGTGGAAGGACAATGGATTTGGTTATATCCATTACTCTTACTTTGTTTGAACCCTCTCTCTCTCTCTCTCTCTCTCTCTCTCTCTATACATACATACATACATACATACATACATACATACATACATACATATATACATATATATGGATATGTAGATATATATATATATAAGGATATATCGGATCTGTATTTCTCTGTTGTATCTGCCCCTCTCTAGTTGGGGATTGGAGCGTCTCGGGGTTGGTCTGGGGATGTGTAT